CCATCACTGCAGACGTTCCACAAGCTGTAGTTTGTCTAATCTTCACTTGATGCTTGCTCTAAAGGCGAGGCCACCCATAGATTCCCCTGTTAAAATGTCCCAGTTCAGAGCAGAAATAAACAGGTTTGCAATAACTATAAGTGGGGGAGGGGCTGGTTGTCAGTCATCCTCCATGACATGTTCATTACACTTTGACACTTTGTCTTGGCACAGGGAGTTATACCTAATAGATGTCTGCTTAAGTTCCACGTCCACCACGTAGAGTTACTAAACTGGACCTGCCATATTTGAGCTAATAAAGTATGTGCTACAGACCACTTGAGAAATCTATGTGGCAGTGTTGGTAAATGTAATTTTAGTATGTTCTTATTCTGTTACTTATCACTACTTACCAGACTTGTCTGTGCATTGCAGTTTAGAAATCCAGCTAGCTAAACAAGCTTAGTTGTTAGCTTAGAGTTTAGTAGTATAAAGTTAGCAATTTCCTGCTCCAAAAAGCTAACATGGCAGTGGCAAGAATGCCAAAGTTTACACTTCATAATGTGGCGTCTGACATCACCGTGTCCATCATTCATATGCAGTCTATAATGTGGTCCTATTTTAAAAAAAAATCATTTGGACTTGGCTTCAGATCTATTCAGTAGCAAGCAAGTAGAAGTACAGTAAATAGTTACTTTGACAGTGACATGTGGGGAGATCGTCCAAGCAGCCTTTAAGCTAGGCTAGAGACAGCAGCACCCGTTAAGAAAACACATTTTCATGTAATAGCAGAAGTCTAACTCCCACTGGTATATGACTCTTAGTGTAGTGACTGTAATATCATTGGTAAAAACCCACAGCTTTCTAGAGCATCCAAAGAAATAGTAGTAGCAGTAAGTAAACAGTATAAAGATTTAACATTTTGCACATTTGTGGACCCAGGAAAATAATTATAAACAAGGTGACTCTGAAAAGCTTTTGACTTATGATGTAGATGAATATTTTACATTATTAAGACGTCTGATGCATTTCTTGTTTGCAGCCAGTGTTGGAGTTTGTCCCTTTGAGTTTTGTTCTGACAGGATATATACTGCATTTAACACATTTTTCTTTATGTTTTTAGCTACAGTCGTAGCTGAAGAGGACAGTATACCCTATATTCCTGTGACACCACGTCAAAGCATTGCAAAAATGACATTATACTCTCCAGTGTTGTCACTGAATTTTTGTTTTCAGCAGCTGTAACCGCCTGTGTGCGTGTTGTGTTAAAAAGCTGTGCTGGCCATGCTTCCTGGTGCAAAAAGTCTTGAGATGCTGTCCTGAGATGTCTCCACGTGTCTATGGGCCATCTTCCCTTCCTCACCTGCTCCACAACATGAATGGAAGAGCAAAGAAAATGTAAGAAATAAATTAAAGGAGGAAAAGACTGGATGGATATGTTCATTTTCTCCAAAGACATCTGTACCGGTCAAAGACAAATGGAAGAAAATAAAATATAGATTTCATTATGTCTGCCTTAATTATCAACTTGTAGATGAATGCCACAAATAGATGAATGAACAGATTAAAACAAATGGATCAGAACTCTTACAGTCACGTTACTGTTGCTTGTGCATTATTCTCAACATTTACATCAAGGCATATTAAAAAAGGTTCTCATTTTATAGTGCAGGTCAATATTACTCCCAGTTAAGTGACCATTATGTCAAATACTATTAATACTGAGACAGATAAGTTGGGATCCAATTAGCAATTCCCAAACCTCGACAGTCTGCACAGAAGTGCATCATTACATTTTAGAATATGTCAGAGTAAAATGAACATAATACAAATGGAGTATAACCAACCATAAAATCCAAACTACAGTCTGAAAAGAGTTAGTCTTGCTGTTCTATTGTAAATAATATGAAGGTTATTATTACCAAGCACTAGCAGTGTTTGTTTGGCAGCATCTCGTACTTCTTCCTTGTCTGCCCGGCAGAGATACACCAACTGATCAATGCTTTCTTTGGCCTGGAATAATAGAATGAATACAGTGACAAATGCATTTTGTATAATACACTCCAAACAGAGTGCATACAGACAGGTGTTTAAATGTCACCTTTATCAAACCAGAACAGCAGCTTTGGATAATAGCATAAACTCTGTGCTTTTTTGTACCTTGAGACAAGCTAAAGCTTTGCATCCACA